CCTCAGCTTGAGATGTTGTTTACTTACTTTCATGCAATTGAAAATGAAGAAAATGAAATTTTAAAAATGGAACAACCCAACATGCATGTCCGTCCCATCCTAGCGACACCTCCCTCCCACTAAGTTTCAGGTGTGTTGCATCCTTTGCAGTTGCGATGCGTGCAATTGTGCACGGGTTGTAACACATCCAGTTGTGCGTCCAAGAGTGGACATGCAATTGGTCATGTAAGTTTTGCGAAAAACTCAGAAAAACATATTTTCTAAATATCTCGTCTTAGGATGTTTCCCTGCGATAAAAACAGAAATTCAAAATACGAGATTATTTTGGAACCACCACACCTTACTGCCGCCCCATGCCAACAATGGCCATACATTTACGGGGTGAAACAAAAGCCTCACGGGTCATTTGTAATGCCGCTCTTGTCCCTCCATAATTCCTCACCATTTATGGGGCAACTAAACTGCTCGTGTATTACAACATGGCATACATATGTGTAGGAAGATTTCGTTTGATATACAATAATGTATTAGACAGGGCACCTGACCGAATATTGAATTTCCTTGTAGTATGGGGAATGCAAAGACAGGAGTACTATGTCTCAATTTGTCAATTAGAAAAAAAAATTAGTTTCCATATTACTGCAAGATCTCACGAATGTGGGATAGGTACGGCAGAAAAAATAGCAAGTGAGTCGAGGGAGGTAACGAGTAGGATAAGAAAAGGAAAGGAAAGTACCAAGTTGGTTTAGATTGCTCGAATTTACTCTATGTACGTTATTTTTTGTTTTGAGGAAATGGGTAGGACAAGGAAAGGAAAGCACCAACTTGGTTCAGATTATTCATGTTACTCTATGCATCTTTGTTTTTATTTTTTGCATCATCGATTGAGATTATTGAAAAAAATCTACAGAAACCATGGAGGCATGAAGAGAAGAAAATCAATGTAGGGGGAACGGGGAGGAGATGAGACGAACATACCAACTCCTCTTTAATGTAAATATTTGTACTCAACCACTTTCTTCATTTTTGTTGAGAGAGAACTCTCTGCAGTATTTTCGAACAAAAAGAACTCTCTTCAAAAAATGAAATTCTTTTTCTTGAGACGATCTTCAGTAAATGAAGTAAAGAAAAATACAAACATCGCAGCACAACAAACATGGGAAAATAGCTGCCCCAAAAAAACATGAAAACCAAAAGGTCCAAACGGCCCAACACATGTGTATCAATATAAAAAGAGCGAGTCGCGGAGATCCAATAAATCTCATCCGTTCAACCACATCTATTCAATAGTCTACGTCGCTTCGGTGTTTAAAGTTAAACATGTCTAGAACTAAACATATGTAGCACCATCTACTAATTAATATCATGCATAATATCAGTGTCATCATTAACCAAGTAATTATATCATATCTAATATTAACATGCAATTTATATCTTGCCTAATGGTGAGCAATACAGCTAATGTCTTGCATAATATGAATGTGCATTGAACGCACACATTTACTAGTAAACCTAATGACACAGAAAGCGCCCATGCAAAAAAACGACGACCACGCGCTAGGATGCGCTAGAAAAAGAATTTGCATGCTTTAAATCAAATGATAGAAAATAGCAGTTCATTAACGAAAATGATATTGGGCGAACATCAACTTTCTAGCATGTTCAAGCGAACGCTATGCCTGTCACCGGATCACCTGCATGGATCTTGGTACAAAGGACCTCGCTAGGTTATATATGAAAACTCATTCGCAACAGAGTGCCCACCGGATTGGCTAGCTCGTAAAGCTTCCATCCAGGAAACCGGACCTGGATTGTCTGACGTACTGCTCCCTGACGTGGGGCCACTGACATGTGGACCCAGGTCCACATGCCAGTGTGTGCAACGGCACGTCAGGGGAGCCGGCTCCCAGGAAACCTGGGATTGAATCCCAGTTCCTCCTTTTAGGCCCTGTTCGGTACACAGGTCAGATAAACAAAAGAATATAAAAAAGTGCATGAATGGAGTTGGTTGTATAGTGCAATCCTGCGTGACCCAAAACAGACTAAAGGGAAAAGGAGAGGTGTTCGGTTCATTGGAAACCCTGTATTCGTACTAGTAATGCAACAATATATAATATTTTATTCACTGCATGCCGGTTTAGCTTCTCTCACTGCCATGTGAAAGTATTTTTTTTATTCAGTTTGCACGGTGGCTGCCTCAAGCCTCCGCCCAAAAAAGAGACCAGACCAGATTTACACAATCCTTTGGAATGACCACTATGAGCGAACCTTCCCATAGGGGTATTGTAGATGTTTCCTTTGATCCAAACGCTACAAATAAAACTATGGAATGAACATTCCTCTGGAAAAGTTTCAAAATCCTGTGAAGCGAACACAGCCTTGTCATTTTCCATTTTACTTGGTGGAGAAAATATGCAATCTTATTGTTTTAGGTACATGACAATTTTTCAAAGAAAAAGTACATGTCATATTTATAATTTTTTTGGACTTGTCACATGGCAATGTTTAAACATTTTTTTGTAAAGTTTTTCACATGTCAAGTTTGTTTTGTACACATGGTAATTTTTAGAGAAAAAAAATTCTCATGATCCCATGAAAAATCCATATTGTTTTGTCCTCCAAACATGGCAATTCTAGGTCTTTTTTGTAATGTTACCATGGCCTTTGGGAAGTTTTATCAATTATTTCATGGCAATTTTATTATTAAGAGCATGACAATTTTATTACTAAGAACATGTCAATTTTTCTTATTAAGAGCATATAAATTTTATTAATTATACTCTTGGCATTTTTTTGCGCCTTTTACAATTTTTTTTCATCTTTGGACCATGGCAATTTGATTGGACATATCTGGATAAAACATTTTTTCTCTTGAAGTTCCCATTGGACCAATTATGATGTTTAACAAATTAGAGCATGATAATTTTGGTTTTGGTACATAACATGTCATATTTTGGTTTTAAATATACAATGGTTGACTTCTAGAGGATGGCAGTTTCATAAAGTATAGCATGCATCAATTTTATTTTATTTTTCATGGTTTTTTAGAACAAATGAGAGTACATCATGGCAATTTATGCACCGGATTTATTTACTTTTTCGCGAAGTTTTAAAAAATGACCTAATTAGGCTTAGCTCTTTTCCCCTAGATGCTTCATGTGACAGCTGAGGGTTCACATGGACAAGCGCTGCATCGGACGTCGAAAAGGGAACACAATGGTTTGTTTGACCGCTCTTCCTGAGATGAACGACTCGTTCACCCAGGTTCCTCCTAGGAGGCATTGGTTCACACAATGGTGACGACAAAGGGACTCATATGAGGTTACAGTGGAGAATGGGCGTAACTGATTCAGCTACTATTTTGTTTGGTTCCGATCAATAAAGGTATGATTTACTTCATAGCATTTGTTTGTGCAATAAAACCTGAATACAACTGAAAACTGGAGGGGAGATGAAGGACAATTAGAGAGCGGAAGAGAACGCTGGAGAAGGATAACATGTGGTCCGAAGATGAAGCGGCACCACGAGTAGAGAAGGGGGTCGATGAAGGCCATCATTGTGGTGCTCTTCGCATGGCGCCACCGAGATCGGTTATCCATCGCCACCCCCTGCAGTGCTTGATTTGACGTAGAAGAATCGTGGCAGAGGGGATCGCTGGCAGAGGGATTGATCGATGGAACCGACTTGAGGGCATGAACTATTTACCTCGTTATTGGTTTACGAGCTGACCAAACCAAACGCGATTAACAGTATGAGAATGCGGTGTAATCAGATAACGATACAAATTGGTCGAACCAAGCACCTCCCTACAGTTGACGATGGCTAGCTATTCGGATCCTTCATTAAAATAGATGTCTCTCCGAGACAGCGAGTCTGGCCACTTTTCTTTTCTTTGTATACTTTTTTCCGCGTTGTAACCATCTCTCGTTTTCGAAAACGAAATGGAGCCCGTGATATATCCGTGTTGACCACGGCTACATCTTCATCTTCAAAGTTCAAACACAAATAGCCGTGGCCATGGACGACGTGGGCCCAACAATTCGCCGCGTAGCGGGCCCCACCCAGGCATCGCCACGCACCAGGCCGCCGTCTCGCCGTCCACGCCCGAAAATCCTCACCCGTCTCCCACTCCTGTCCCTCCCTAATTCCTCACCATTTCTCAGGCACACCCACGTCTACTTTCCCACTGCCATGTGGGCCGATCCACCTCCCCCCAGCCAATCATTTTCCAGTTCTATATACTAGTAGTACTACTATAAAACAACCCGCTCTGGAATTATTCGTCTCCACTACGAGAAATCTTCTTTTTCTGTTGAAAAGACACAACGAGAAATCTTCTCCTCCCCTGCTCCAGCTCGCACCAGGCAGCGCCACCAGCTGTGCGCGATCCCAACTGATCGCGCCATGGTAACGGCGGTGGCAGCCGTGCTGGAGCCTCCGTCACGGTCGCCGCTGCGGCGGCGGCACCGGCTGGCGAACGGGGCGGGTGCTACCACCGGCGACTTCGAGCTCCGGCACTGGCGCCCGGCCAAGAAGAGTAGCTCGTCCGGGATGAAGGGGCGGTGGGTGCCGCCGGAGATCGAGATCCCCAGCGGCGAGGAGGGGGGATACACCAGCCTCCGCGACATCATCTCGTCGCCCGAGTACGCCGCGGCCAAGCAGGCTCACTCCCCCGCGGACGGGGCCGGAGGCGGCGGGGACGTGCACATGATACGCCACCCGCTCGTGAAGCACGCGGCGTACGCGTACCTGCAGCTCACGCCATCCGCGCGGGAGGACCCCGGCAGGTTGCGCCGGCGGAGGCGCGGCCCCCTCTGCCGCCTTGTCCTCGGCTGTCTCGGCTTTGTCGGGGCGTTCTTCACGCGGTGACCTCGGCGTGAGCCTTACGGTTCTTGGTCAACTTTTTTTTGCCTCTCTTGCTTGTCGTTTCCAGTCCTTTTTCTCGCTCTTTTCTCCGTGTCCGTGTATTTAGAACAGAAGAAGCAATCGACTTGTTCGAGTTTTGATCATGGTTGCAATTCATGTAAATATTTTGGTAGGATTATAAGAACAAAAGATGATTATCTCCAACACCAACACAAGGCTAGCTATTTTTTAGTCTACTATCTTGTTCGTCTTTTTCGGTTGCCGTGAACTCGAAGATTTATGATGGCGATCCGAAGAACAAATCGTGCAGGAGAAAACGAGATTCAACAATGGAAAGGAAAAGCAAATTCTATCATGTTCATCATACAGTCACCCAAGTGTAAACTTCACATTGGATTTAATTTGCTATGTACTCTCCATTAGACCACCTGTGCCTTCTTTCACTGTTTAATCCAATCTATGTACATGATCATCCCCTAGTACTTGCCTCTGGAGCAACTACTTCTCCCAGCGCGTTAGTACTTCCCACTGTACTGTCGCCGGGCCGGCTTGGCGCCGGCCATGGAAGCGCGGATAACCTGGGCCACGGCGGCGGCGTCAAGGTCGGCGGGGCCGCCGAAGATGGACTCTTGTGGCGGAGGCGACGGCGGCCGGCGTTTGGTGGCGAAGGGGCTCCACCCGGACGACTTCTTGTTCCTCTGGCGCACATGCAAAATGTTGAAGAGATCAGAGATGAGAGAACTGATCATTGTCAAATAACATCGTCCCTAGTACTGCTAACGTTGCACCTTCAAGATTCGTGCACGCACATGGCCGATTGGTTGGTGGGGCACGAGTCTATCCTCAAGCTTGATGCTCTCGCGGAACGTGCGCGCGAGCCACGACGACGGCTTCCTATGTTGGCCGTCGCTGTCTGTCCTCTGGGCCCAGGTTTGGACCAAAAGCAGTGAGAGCTGACAACGATCAGCGAGGTGATGTGCTTGGGCTAGATACGTCATCACGAGTTAAAAGATCGAGCACAAGGGGATGAGTAGCCTGCAGCCAGCGAAGCTGCGCACCCAATTTGGGTCTCGTTTATATATCTTATTACTAATAAGAATACATAACAGAGGTGCTACATCTAGTCTGATATACACCGCCAATTTTCATATTATTATGAAGTGCAGGCAGTGGGTTTCATACTCTTCGTCGGGTCATCGATTTATTCGATACAGAGAAGGAATAGGAGGCACTCTGGCCAGATAGTGCTCGCTCTGGCCTTGGTACTATTAGTTGGCACTGCCCATAGATGGAAATTTTTGCCAAAGTGGGTACAGTGGGAGAGGAGGACCTGTGAGGGGTTGGTCTAGCAGAAACGGGAATGTTAATTTATTGCCTAGCAATTTTGTTTGACGGTAGTTGGAATTACAACAGATCTGGAGTGGTGGAGGCTTTATTGGTACACGATTTCTGGCTGTGCCATTAGATGAGGAGCAGAGCAACTGATGAGGAATGAAAAATAGTTCAAATCTCATCGTAAGAGACGACATCAAACTACTACGAAGTACTATGAGCTATACTACCTGCGTTATGCCACCATGCAAGAGAACAGAGATGACTGTCTATATATATAGATAAAGTTAATGTTTGTGTTTGACGGGGTAATCACTTGTCTAGTTACCTCTGAAACTGATGCTGCAGGTTCGTCAGAAACGACGGATCGCAGGACATCCATGAAGAAGGCCGTCCCTTTATCAGCGAAGTTCTGAATGTAGAAGGTGAGCAGCTGCCCCGATCTGGCTCTCAGATGCAGCAGCCTCTGCTCGATGTTCGGCTCGTACTGCATCACCATGGGCCGGAGGAAGGTGTCGTACACGATGTCGCTGCCCTGAAGGTCCATATAAGAAGAAGATCATGCAATTGTTGCTGTGTCTTGTTTTTCGGTTTTCTTGGGGGAAATGTTAAGGAATGGATGTGCTTCCTCACCTTTGTCTTGGGGTACCACAGGTACACAAAGAAAGCCAGCTTGATTTCTCCGTACATCGGCATCCTGGTATCGACAAATTATAGCATGCGTGCACAGATGAGAAGGGAGCTTTGAAACAGAGCGGGGAAAAGATCTTGCAAATGGAATTGATTTAGCTGACCATGAGATGAAGCTCTCGACGGCTATCACCATGGCCACTATGATCCTGAAAAGTGTCCACCAACTTAATTATTAGGAGGGCAACACATACTTAGATTCAGCACAAGAAGAGACGACAAGCTTAAGCACAAAAGTGCTGGCCAGTAAAGATGAAAATGGTTATTAAGATAATTTTACATCAAAAACTTTTTTTAAATCCTACGGTTTCAGATATGGTAAGACATTTGACATCTGAACATCATCTGTTCTGAACCCAAGCCCGGGTTGTTAGGATAAGGTATAGTATGATTTATTGATTATTGTCACTAATATACAATGGTATCAGTATAATCCTAATTCTTATAGTCGGATTGTCCAACCTTTCAAATATGGTTAAACGATTTGGTAACAAACTAAACTATTAACTTACAATATGTGGATGTTATCTTTGACTATCAGATAGCACATATGCTTATTAGTATTTTATTATAGACTATTACCACCTTCTAGTATTGTACTGTATGTGTGTTTTGTGTGCATAAATATTAATAATAGCTAATTGTTTATCTAACACATAAATATTAAATCTGCTAGAGTGGGTATTTTCTATATTAATAATATTAATTAACATATTTTAAAATAAAATTATAATACCTCCTTTCAGTTTAGTAGGCCTGCACTTATCCCTAGATTGAAAATTTAACCATTATAATGCAAGTAATATATCCTAAAATTTATACAACTAGAAAATATACCATTTGAAGTTTCTGATGATATACTTTTTGGGATACATAATTTGTACTACATTGTTCAAATTGTTAATCTAGGGATATGTGCTGGCCTAATAAACCTGAAAGGAGGTAATATAATTTTAGTTTAAAATATGTTAATTGCATATACGTTTGTATTATGTGTACCCGTTCAAATTATGTGTACCCGTGTAGTTTTGTTGGCAATATCTCTGTTTAGACATACGTGTCTTGAATTGTTAAGCCACATTGTATAACATTTTGGTCTTTAATCATATGTTTTTTATTAATTTTAATTCATCGCATCAGCATGTGGTGTATGTTTGTTTCCAACCAAAGTCTCATCCATCATCATACCATGTTCGAATCCAACATAATCCGATAGAGTTCGATATTGGACTACATCCGACCACTATATGTCCTGCTTCCAATTTCGAAAAGAATGTAAAATAGGATACAATTTAAGCTTATCCGATTGTAGTCGCATCGGTTTCACCCATACTAGCTGGTGTGTAACAATGCATTTAAAATAGCCCGACAAATTTAAAAAAAAAATTACAGTTTATGGCACTAAGTGCATCTGTAGCAGATTTCTTGGAAACACCACCATTTCTTAAAAAGAACCACTGTGCAGAAAATACTCACTCTCACTTATTCTTATCCTTCAAATCTTAAACCACCACCATATTCCTTACATTTAAGGAATATGAGGCTCATTCCTTAAAAAATCATAGGATACTGACAAGTGGTTCACTTATACGCGCTGTTTGTCAGCGTGTGTGCACAAAATATAAGGACTACTGTTTTTTTCTTGTGGTGTATATTGGGAACGATTATAAGGAATCTGTTCTAGCATCATTCCTTAAATATTCCATTATTTACAGACTCTCCTTTCATGGTGCAACCACAAACAATTTCTTGGGCAGGTCAAGCTAAAGGAAATCACTACCCCGCAAAAAAAAAGCTAAGGCCCTGTTCGTTTAATCCCCTCCCCACAGGGATTGGAGGGGATTGGGGGGGGTTTGAGGTAGATTTTGACTTGCAAGGGATTTAATCCCCTCCAATCTCTTTCAAACCACTCCAAACCCAGTCTAACCGAACAAGGCCTAAAGGATATCACATAAATTTTTGCTTTCAAGGCTTTATCTTCACTCTTCATTGCTTTGTTGATGAGTTGGGGGTGCCATGGTCTGATTTTGCCCCAACGTAGGAGTGATTTTCCAAGGTTCTAACAAAGTCTGGACAACAGTCACTACAAGGAACCCATTAGGTCACTACACATTTTTTTTCCGAATGTAGATTGATAGAGTCGAAGGTTAAGTATGGTAAAGACTAAAGGCACAATCATAGAAGTAGTAACATACAAACAAATCAGATAATGTCAGTTGAAAGAAGAGCATTACATGCAGAAACAACTTGGAACAGTGAGGCAACATGATATTTTATATCTCTAGCCATTACTGACTCCACGTCCACATGATTTTAGGCACTTCTCTCTTGCAACTAAACCATCGGAATTTTACCTGCACCTAGGTACTCATCAGTTGTTTCGCTACAAGTTAATAGTCCATTATATGTGCCCCTTTATTGACTTTCACAACTAGGCATGAATTTATAATTCCCGCAAAAAACGGTATGAATTTATAAAGCTCCTGGAAAATAAAAAAAGTAGATTATAGTAATTGATGATTATAATCAACCTTTTGCTATTTTACTGATTGGGTATCCACATTTCTGGCTATTTTTGCATGGCAAATTGTAACATGAATTCAGGACCATACAACTGAACAACTCTAGAGACCTAAAATTCCAGTGCAATACACCACCTGCTCAGAACAGCGCATTGATATATGATCAAATTGTACTATTACGCCTCCGGTGTCTAGAGACATAGGGCGCAAATGTGGAATAATATACTAGTGCGCACCTTTATTATAATGCCAAAACGCCAAGCAGCACACAATTGGACATATAGTGATCAATAATGTAGGAGCATCTCCTAAATCAGCTACTCATAATTTGCCGATAATATGTCGTCAGAGTCAGCAGTGGAAAGTATCTCAGACACCTAACATCCACCTAAAACTGCACCTTATCTAAACAAAATTAAAGTGATGCAGAAAAGAAAAGTTGGCATTATATCGCCGCACATGAACCTTTGCCGAGATACACATAAAAAAACAAGGCCATCAATAAAAAGGCTGAAAGAACGAGAACTAAAGTTACCATCATGCATGGTATCACATAAGTGGAAAGAAGAAGGAGAAAAGCAACGCAACCCATCCAAGTTTTGCATCTCACGCTTCCTCCTCTGTTTTTTTTTTCGAAGGAAAAAAAAACAGTTCGACTCGACGAGCAGAGAGTAGAAGCACAAGCAGGTGAACCAGGCAACCGATCCATTTCTGAATTCTAATGGCGTTGGGTCAGTGGTAAAGTTGGTTGACCAAATGTTGGAGAACGTACCAGTATTGGCACCAGAAGCGGAGCATGTGCGCGTCGTTGGGGCGCGCCTCCACCGTCTTGAAGCACTCGAACGCCGGCATCGCGTACCCGAACAGCAGCCTGCAGCGTCAATGGCGTCCCCGGTTCGCCAGGAGCCACGCGCACGACATCGGATCATTCATTCATTCGTTCACATGCATTCCCCCATTGATCGGTCGGTCCAACGGGTACGGCGAGAGCGATGGAACGGAGTAGCAGAGGACTTACAGGAGGACCCTGGAGAGGAACTCCCCCAGCATCTCGCCGGGCTGGAGCGGGCAGCGCGCGCGCGGGTTTGCGGCGGCGGCGAGCGTCGGCCTCCGCCCTGCCGCGACGGAGTAGCCGGCCGGAATCGTTGAGGTTCTCCAGAGGCGGGGATTTGCGTGGAGGATCGAGCGGCTGTTTGCTTCCTGAAGAAGGGAAGGGAGACTGAACTTGGAAGCAGAAGCGAGGAAGAGGAGACGCGACTGCGACTGCGACGCTACGAGGCGAGGAGTTTTGCCGAGGGCACAGGGCACACGAGTCCCACTGCAGGTGGGCCCGTGACGTGGCTTTTAGTTTCACCGGTATATCCACCCGGACGCGTGTTTGCTCTGCACCGACGCTTCTGTTCTGTTCAGTTGTGTCAGTGGCCCTGTACTTACTCTCTTGTTGTGGGGGCCTAGGACCCAGGAGATGGAGGTCGCGGTATCTTTTCTTGGTCATCGCTGCATGCTAGTAAGTACAGTACTCCCTTCGTTCCATAATGTAGTGCTTTTTTTATCCACATGCTTTAATTTTGACAGTAAGTTTAACTATCAAGACTGATTGCGGCGGGCGCAAAAGTTATATCAATGGATTTGTATTCGAAAGAAGTTTTTAATTATGTAATTTTTTCTCCCGCCGCAGTCGGTCTCGTTCGTTAAATTTATGGTCAAAGTTCAACCTTGAAAAGCGCGGGCGCACTATATTTTAGAATAGAGGGAGTAATAGTTTAGCTGTTCAACGGTTCAACCTCCTCGTATAAATTCATGCACGCGGGACGTCCGTGATCGTCATCGCTCCTGCACATCTAGCGAGAGTACTATGTATTAAACCCGAGCATGGGCAGCCGGGCCCGACGACCCGGCCCGAGCCCGGCCCGAAAAACCCGGGCCGGGCCGGGCCGGGCTTGACACTCGGGCCGGCTCGTGCTTTGTTTTGCAGCCCGAAAGGTAGTTCGGACCGGGCTCGGGCTTGTCTTTTTCTATTTTTCGGGCCGGGCTTTCGGGCTTCGGGCTGGGCTTGCACGTACGCGTACTAAAAAACAGCGTTCGGGCCGGGCTTTCGGGCTTCGGGCTTGATTTCGGGCCGGGCTCGGGCTTGATTTCAGAGAGTATTTCGGGCTTCGGGCCGGGCTCGGGCTTGAGAAATGAAGGTCGGGCTTTTACAAGCCCGGCCCGAAACCCGGCCCGGCCCGACGTTTGCCCAGGTTTACTATGTATACATTCACAAGTTATGCATGCCTCTCTGCTTTCCTTTTTCTTTTTGACAGATTACGTGCATTCCTTTTTTTTTCGAGAGTACGCCTAGGCGTATCATATTTTTATAGAAGACAAAAATATTATACAAGAAACTATAACTTGTTGCGAACAACAAGTATAGCTCGAACTCCACACTCCATCACGACAAATACAAACACAACACAAAATGCCTGTCCTAGACCAATCATCTAGCCGCGTCACAACAAAAGCCGGCCTCCTCGAAGCAACAACTCTAACCGGAAACTCCTTGCCAACGCACTACCCACCCTTGGATGCCTAAGAGGAGACGGCGAGTGGATAGCAGGACTCGGTCGGACCCGTGAAAGCCATCGTCTTGGATACGCCGGTGGCTGCGTGCATAGCGCCCATGAAGATCAGCTCGAACAGCGGCAAGCACCGGAGAACCACAAACAGTACCTAAGCCAAGTCCTCACCTGCGATGCTGTCAACAGAGGAACGACGCCACACCGCCGCCATCGCCGGTCCTGCAACGGACCAAAGGCTTTCGCCCGAAGACCACAACCCGATCAAGAAAGGGAGATGCCGACACACCATAGCGACGCCTCCAAGGAGGGAAACGACACCCACGGGCACCGTCGCCGCCAGCTCCGACTGAAGACGAGCAAGATTTTCATCCGAACCATCGTGCACCTCCACCCTCTGTCAACAGATTAGGCCCAACTGTTGGGGTCACACCGCCGCTGCCGCATCACCTCGCCATCGTGATCAAACCACCGCGGAACACCGATCCCTCACACGGCCGAGAGCACGCGTACCACCAATCAGCACCTGCACGGTCGAAGGAACACTTCTCCAGCTTCAGACCTTCAGTGCCGCCCAGATCCACTGCACCCATAGGCATGGGCTGGCCACACCATCACCTGGCCGCCATCCATGCCGCTGCTGCAGCTCAGGGCCCAGCTGGGAAGGAGCAGGCGCACCGAGCCGCCCGCCGCGACCGCGCGTGCCCACTAGAGCTGCCCTGCACGAGACCCCGCTCCGGCCTCCGGCAAGATCCAGACCACGCCGCCCCAACACCCCAAAAGGGGGCGCCTTCCTCGAGCCACGCCCGCCGAAAGCAGGAGGCGTGCCACGCGTCCCGACCGCTGCTCCCGGCCGCCGCACCTGACCGAGATCCACCTCCACCAGGACCCTGCACCGCAACCTCTGGCTCCCAACATGTCACCCGAAGAAGACAGCCGCCCGCACCGCCTTGCGACCATGCTCCGCCTCTCCACCGTGCTCCGCCACCTCACCGGAATCCAACCGCCACCGCCCGCCCATGAGACACCCTTCTCCGCGCGAAGAAGGCCCATCAGGGCTTGCGAACTCGCCCGCCGCCTTTGACGGCCGGGCGCCGCCACCACCGCCGGCGGCGGCCAGGGGGGCACAAAGAAGGGGGTGCGCTCGGGGGCTAGGGTTCGCCTCCGGAGCCGCCCGCGCGAGCGGCCCCGGAGGGATAGGGGGCTTCTTAATTTGTTAGTCCCCCTTACGTGCATTCCTGACTTTCATACTTCCATCTAGGGTGCATGGCGGCGTCCCGCTAGGACCCGCCAATGTGCTAAGAGCATCTACAGCCGGACTTGTAATTCCGACCCCTCACACCTCAAATATTTGATTCTGCAACCAGAGTCTCAAATTAGAAACCTCGAACACACATTATTACATGCAACATAAAACGATCTTTAAGCGGAGCTCGTCCAGTTCCGCCATGCCCATGTCCCGCGGCCGGCTGCACAGCCCGGAGTGTTGGTCCGGTCGACAGTAAGGTAGAGTAGGGCATGGAACACGAGCCGGCTCATGGGACTCAAGGCGCCGCCGTCTCTCATGCCCTACTCTTCCTCACCGGAGCCTGGAACCCGAACGGTGCCGATGGACGTCAGATCGACGATGGATCCGTCCCGGGAGGAGCCGCCGACATCCACGACGACACGCGTGCGGCGCGGGGGGTTGCAGGGCATCCGTCGTGCGCTAGAGAATGCGACTCCGCCTCTCCAATGTCCACCGGCGTGAGGGCTGCCGTCGCCTCCTGTGCCCGTGGCCTATCACAGCGGGCACGCCGCACCATGTTTGCGTTGGACGACGCCCATGGTGTGTCCATGGCCTCGGCGCGCCAACAGAGGGGTTGCACGTCCGTCACCGTGTTTGGAAACAGACGGACCACACCGCCTCCGATGAGGCATCGATGGCACACCTACCCGCCGGATCCATGCACCATGTGGGTAGACGTAATGGATTCCTAATGGAAGGAGTCCGAGCGCTGCCTTCTTGAAACTAAGATGAGTTTGATCTTGTTGCCGATTGTGGTCGAGACCCTGGGTCCACAATTCTAGGATTTTTTCTTCCTGTCGGCGGACGGGACTAGGGGCGGGATCCTTCTGGCTTGGCAACATGATCTCATTGCTTTGTCCCATCCTTCCATAGGGGAGCACCACATCACTACGCTTGTGACACCCCCCGCAGGAGACCAACACTGGTGGCTCACCGGAGTCTATGGTCCGCAGGATGACCTTGCTAAGCTAGCATTTCTCTCTAACTTACAAGACGAGCGTGATACTTGTGCCGGCCCATGGCTCCTTGGGGGAGACTTCAATATGATTCTTTCGGCCGAGGATAAGAACAATGATAGGCTCAACAGGCGCATAATGAACCGATTTAGACGTTTCACCTCCGACCTCGAGCTGCGAGACATCTACCTCCACGGCCGACGGTACACTTGGTGGAATGAACAAAGACGACCAATGCTTGTTCGCAACGACCGCATTCTATGCACCCCTGACTGGGACTCGACTCACCCGCACTGTGTTCTCCGGTGCCTGGCTACTACTACTTCGGACCATTGTCCGCTTGTGCTTGATTGCATACCCTGTGCGCATGGCCGCTCGCGCTTTCACTTCCAACACTTCTGGATCAAATGGGATGGATTCCTCGACGTCGTCTCGGCTGCCTGGAATGGTGTTGGACCTTAGCCCGACCCCTTCCGCTGGGTCTTTGTGAAGTTCAAGGCCATGGCGCGCAACTTGCAAAGCTGGGGCGCTAAGAGACTTGGGGATGTCTAGTTGTAGATCCTCCTCGCCAAGGAAATAATTGCGTGCCTCGACGCCGCGCAAGACACTCACACCCTCTCTGAGGCCGAGGCTTGGCTCCTTCGCAGGCTGAAGGGTGCATACCTAGGACTAGCTTCTCTCGAGAGATCGATCGCGCGCCAGCGCAACCGGTTCCGTTGGCTCAGGGAGGGAGACACCAGCACCGCCTTCCTCAAAATACACGCTGCGCATCGCCGGCAGAAAAACCACATATTCCAGCTCAACGACAACGGTAGCATGGTGCCTGACCATGCTGACATGGGCCGCATGGAATTCGAGCACTTCGCCACGATCCTCGGCTCCCATGAGGCCTGCACCTCCTCCATCGATCTCCAGGCCATCCACCATCCGGCCTTCGACATGTCTGGACTTGACGCACCATTCCCCGAGTCCGAGGTTTGGGCGGCCGTCAAGCGGCTACCAACAGGCAAGGCGCTGGGCCTGGACGGATTTACGGCGGAGTTTCTTCGCGCGTGCTGGGACATCGTCAAGCACGACATCCGCGAGGTTTTCCACAAGCTCTACTTGATGAATGGACGTGGATTCCACAAACTTACTGAAGCACTCCTAACTCTGCTCCCGAAGAAGGCCGACGCCTCCTCCCTCTCTGACTACCGCCTCATCAGCCTGATACACCTCCTGGCCAAGCTATTCACAAAGGTGCTCTCCCTG